CATCTGTAGTTCCAGCTACTTGGAAGGCTGAGGTGGAAAGATCACCTGAGCCCAGCAGATCGAGACTGTGGTGGCTGTGAGTGTGCCACTGCACTCCAGCCTGGGCAATAGAGTAAGACTGCAACTCAAAAAAAAAAAAAAAAAAAAAGAGTTCTAGGCCAGGCATGGTGGCTGGAATGTGGCTGACAGTGAGGAATTGGGTGGGTGAGGCACTGAGTGACAGATAGGCCACAGGAGGGTCCAGAACATGGAATGCAGCCCTCCCTCCACTGTGGGAGTCCAGAAGGGTAGGAATGTACCCATCCTCGCCTTTCCATCCCTCCCACACAAGGGCACTACATCATAGGACTGAAAGAGCTCACTGAGTTTATTTGGGGCATGCGAAAGGGGTTGGAGGTTTCACATCATGTAGCCACATACACATACAAATGCACACATCCTCAGAAACATTACACTGGAGGTTGACATTGTCTGCTTGGGGGTCCTAGATTTCAGAGTCAGGTGCAGCTCCCGGGGGCCTGAGGAGGTCCAGGCTCTGTAGAAGAAACAGTGATGGGGAGGGGGCCCCCTGCCCACCAGACCCTGGGAGCCCTGACAGTCAGCACCCACTGCCTTCCCCGCCTATGTCTCTCCCTCTCCATCTTCCCTAGGGGCAGTCCAGCTCATCTGATCACCTGGGGGTCACCTGGTGCTCCAGGTCCCCACATGGCCTCCTCCTCCCCATGCTGGCTCTGGTCCATCGGGATTGTCCATATTCTCATAGGAGTCTGCATCTGGATAGGACCGGGAAGGAGGACAAAATAGGATGGGCTGGAAGGAGACTGGGAGGCAAAGTGAGCCCAGAGGAAGCAGGGGGCAGCAGCAGAAGCACCCACCTTCCTCGTGATTGGGGCCAGGCTGGCCCCGAATGGAGCGGAGCTGGGGAGCTGCATACAGGATCCCTCTCATATCCTCATAGGACTGGGACCCTGCTTGGGCAGGGGTTGAAGAATTGGAGGCTTGGGAAAGGGAAGTGCAAGTGCTCCCATAGGAGGGAGTCCAAAGGGCAGAGGAAGATGGGAGGCTTCTCCCATGTTGTACTGGGAAGGCATGATTAGGTCAGCGTCAGCTTGGGGACCCTGGTTAGTCGTAGAATCAGGGCTAGGTATGGCTTAGGTCATGGTCAGAGAAAGGGTCAGGAACAGAACTGGGGCCGGGCTCGGTGGCTCAGCCTGTAATCTCACGCCTTGGGAGGCTGAGGTGAGTGAATTGCCTGAGCCCGCGGGTTCGAGACCCGCCTGGGCAACTTGGCGAGACCTCATCTCTACAATAAATCCAAAAAATCAGCCAGGCATGGTAGAGCACGCCTGTAATTCCAGCTACTCAGAAGGCTGAGGTGGAAGGATCGCTGGAGCCCAGCAGGTTGAGGCTGCGGTGGCCGGGAGCGGCCACTGCACTCCAGTCTGGGCAACAGAGTGAGACTCCAACTCAAAAAAAAAAAAAAGAACAGAACTGGAAGGAGTCAAAGTCAGGGTCATGAGGAAGTTGTAGAGAGAATCAGGATCAAAGCTGAAGTCTGCATGGGTGCTGGGGTGAGGTGGAGGTCAAATGCAGGCTGGAATTCAATTGGAATCAGTGCTGATGGTCGTGGTTAGGGATGGTATAAATACTGGGAGTCAGGGTAGGGGAGGGGGTCGGTGTTGAGGTTAGAATTAGAAGTCAAATCTAAGGTCAGGGTTGGGCTTGCGTTTGAGGTCAGAGTCAGGTCAAGGTTGGGCCTCGTGTCAGAGCTGAGGCCAGTCACCCAGCTGGGCAAGGCAGGCTAGTTCCAAGCATCTCTCACCAAGGGAGGTTGCTTCCCGGGTGGGGTCCCAGGCAGACCCATGAGGGCTCAGGAAGTCTAGAGAAGAAAGAGGGAAGTCACGATTTCTCCTGGCCTTCTAGCCTCCCTTGCCCCTGCCTCCCAGGAATGTCACCATCCTCACACACACCCATTGTTCTGGTGACTGGCTGGGCCAGCACTTCATCCTCATTCTCATAAGACTCAGCTGCTGCAGAAAAAAGACAACTTCAGGGACCCCCTCCTAGGGACTCCACAGTGCTCTGGGTTCTAAGTCCTGTGGCCCCACAAGTTACCATTGGAGAAGGAGTCTTCCTCCTCAGGACCCAAGGACCCGTCCTCAGGGTTCTCATAGCCGCTGCCATCTAGTGGAGAAGGGGAGTCATCTACGACGGTCCCCAGCCCATGGCAGAGGAGGCTGGAGAGGCGCCGGGGAGGGCAGCCTTACCCTGCGAGAGTTGGTCCTGCCCAAGGTTGGAGTCGTTCTCATAGAACTCGGAGCCCTCCTCGCTGTCCGGCTCCTCATAGGCCTCCCCTTCCTCTTCTTCTGGGCCTGAGGGTTTGGGGACGGGGTGGGGAACAGAGTCACGGCCCCTCTCTTCCAGGCCCCAGTCTACTATTCTAGCCAGATCTCTCCAACGCCCCCCAAGTGAAGAACGACCCCCTCATTCACCCTCTCCCGGCGGGCTCCGGGACCCCACGGCTCCAGCCTCCTGGACGTCGCTGTGTGGGCTTCCATAGGACAGGACGGTGCCCCCCAGGTCTGCCGCCCAACGCTGGGCGCGTCCTGGCAAGAGGGACTTTGTAAGGCAGGGTCAGAAGAGACGGGGGAGGTCCCGGGTAAGGGTCCGGACGGCAGGGCAGGGGGAGAGGATGCTTTGGGCTTTGAGAAAGGACTGGCACTGCGAACGGAAAGGCACGGTGACCGGATCTAGATTTAGGGGCGTGGCCTCAAGCTCAGGGGCGAGGTTCTAGTCTCGAACAGTATTTCAGGCCCCGCCTGGGGGCGGGGCTCTGAGCCCTGGGGGCGGGGCTTGGGTCTAGAGGCGGGGCTCACAGCAGGGCGGGACTTGCACCCTGGGGGCGGAGCTCCGAGCTCGAGAAGACTCGACGCTCAAGGGATTGGAGGGTTGAGGACAGTGGGGGCGGAGCTCTAGCTCTTGGGCGGAGCTCTAGGTTGGAGGGGCGGGCTTGGGTCAGAGTCCTGGCGGTGCCTCTTACCTATGCTCGAGGTGGGAGTGGGAAGGGATAGCACGTTCCCGTACTGGTTCTGTGCCCCGTTTCCTGGGGGAGGCGTTACTTTGAAGAACCTAGCGGGAGAAGGGGAGGTGCATTGTGAGGCCAGGCCTGGAAGGGTCTGGGAGACCCACTCAGGATTTGAACCAGGCCTTCAAAGGTGAAACGTGGTCACTTGTGATTAGCTCTGGTGTGCTTGGACAACCTACAGAGGAGTCCGGGATCACTCCAAGGAGATGATCACAGAGGAAGTAGCTCTGGAGCTGGGCTTTGAGTTGGGCAGTATTTCAACCGGGAGGAGTGGAGTAGACACCTTGGGCAGAGGAAACAGTAAGTGCAAAGCATAAAAGTGAAAGCTGGGGGAGGATGCAGTAGCTACATTACCTTCTGGTAGGGTCAGTCATTCGCTTTCTTTTCCTCCTCAGAATCAGGGCTGGTGGGAGTTAAGGGAGTGATCAGAGAAGGGACTGCTTGGCAGGGGATTTGGAGGGTACTAGGGAGGTCATTGGGTCAACAGAGGAATGGGAGTTCAAGTTTCAAGGGGCTTGGGAAGTTTGAGGGGGTTACAAGAGGAGTGGGGTAAGTCAAGGTTCTGGGGTCTGTTGGGGAGGGATGGGAGGAGGGATAGGTGGTTGGCAGACTGCCTAGTGTGGGCTTATCCTGAGGAACATGGAGTATGCTTTGGGCAGACCTGCCAGGGGACATGACTTACCTTTTTGGAGATTAAGAAAGCCCATCAGGGAACCCAGGCAGAAGATCAAATAAACTAAAGTCACAGTTACGACCTTCCAGCCACCAGTCCTCAGCAACCAGTGCCACAGTGCTAGGAGGAAGGGGCTATGAGATGAGGACCCCAGACTAGCATCTTACTTTCCAACCTCAAGACCTCAAAGGTTCATAAGTCTGGGAGACCTCATCTCTACAATAACTCAAAAATTAGCCAGGCGTGGTAGCATGTGTCTGCAGTTCTGGCTACTTGGAAGGCTGAGGCAGAAGGATCGCCAGAACCCAGCAGGTCGAGGCTGCGGTGACCGTGAGCGTGCCACTGTATTCCAGCCTGGATGACGGAGTGAGACTCCATCTCAGATTTGAGTTGGGGGTCTCACTCCGTCACCCAGACTATGAGGAGGGCTCTCTTCCCTTTCTCTAAGGGTCTATGTCCTAGGACAGGGACTGTGCTATAGATCCTGGCACAGGGCATGGGACAGACTCTATTTAGCAAACCACAAACAAACAATGACTATATCAGAGGCCATGTTAGGATTTCAGGGGGACTTAATGATCAGCTTCCTGCTTCTGTTAAGGACAGTTATGGTCAAAGTGAAGGACAAGCCAGGTATGGTGTCTCATGCCTATAATCCCTGCATTTTGAGAGGCCGAGGTGGGTGGATTGATTGAGCCCAGGAATTTGAGACCAGCCTAGGCAACATAATGAGACCTCATCTCTAGAAAAAAATTAAAAAATTAGCTGGGCGTAATGGCACACAGCTATAGTCCCAGCTACTTAGGATGCTGAGGTAGGAGTATGGCCTGAGCCTAGGAGGTCAAGGCTACTGTGTGCTGTGATCATTGTTATCATGCCACTGCCCTCCAGCCTGGGCGACGGAGTGAGACCCCAACTGAAATTTGAGATGGAGTCTCACTCTGTCGCCCAGGCTGGAGGGCAGTGGCACACTCACGGTCACCGCAGCCTCGACCTGCTGGGTTCTGGCGATCCTTCTGCCTCAGCCTTTCAAGTAGCCAGAACTACAGGCGTGCGCTACCACGCCCGGCTAATTTCCGAGTTATTGTAGAGATGAGGTCTCGCCAAATTGCTGGGGCTGGTCTCAAACCCGTGGACTCAGGCAATCCACTCACCTTGGCCTCCCAAAGTGCTGGGATTACAGGCTGAGCCCGGCCAAAAAAAAAAAAAAAATTAGAGCAGAGTTGAGTTTGCAAGGCTCAACTCTGAAAGTTGCAGTCTAGCACCTAGGTTAGAGTACAGTGGCATGATCTTAACTCAGCACAGCCTTCAACTCCTGAGCTCAAGCGATCCTTCTGCCTCAGCCTGCCAAGTAACTAGGACTACAGGTGTGCACCAGCATGCCCAGTTCTTTTTTTTTTGGGAGGGGGGTATTTTTTATAGAGACGAGGTCTTGCCATGTTGCCTAGGCTAGTCTCAAACTCCTGGGCTCAAGCAATCCTCCCTGCTTGGCCTCCCAAAGTACTGAGATTACAGATGTGAGCCACCATGCCCAGCCTCAACGTGAAAGTTGAGGTTGAGGCCGGGCTCGGTGGCTCAGCCTGTAATTCCACGCTTTGGGAGGCCGAGGTGAGTGAATTGCCTGAGCCCTCAGGTTCGAGACCCGCCTGGGGGTCTTGGCGAGACCTCAACTTGGCGAGACCTCATCTCTACAATAAATCAAAAAATTAGCCAGGCATGGTAGTGCGTGCCTGTAGTCCCAGCTACTCGGAAGGCTGAGGCAGAAGGATCGCTGGAGCCCAGCAGGTGGAGGCTGCGGTGGCCGGGAGCGGCCACTGCACTCCAGTCTGGGTGACAGAGTGAGACTCCAACTCAAAAAAAGAAAGAAAGAAAGTTGAGGTTGAGTTTAAGAATGATGGTTAGGATAGCATGGTAGGAGGGAGAGAGAATGGGCAGAACATTGTGCCCAATTTGCTGGATAGGGTGAGGAAAAGAAAGGATGCCCAGGTTCTTAACCTGGCAAGCAGGCAGGTGCTAATGCCATTCACTTACACAGGACCATCCAGAAAACTATACTTGGGAAAGGTAAGTTTGTTTTTGTATCTGATAAGCCTGGGGTGTCTGTGGAACATCAAATGGCAATTCCAGGAGATGGCATGGGGCCTGGAATAGAGTCACCAAGGTATGGTGACCCAGGGAGCCATGAGAAAGATCAAATGAGAAAGTATGTAGACGGGAATGAGAGGAGGGCCCAGGGCTCCAGCAGTGAGGAGCGGGGGAGGAAGGAAGACTTCACCAAAGCTGGTGGGAAGAAGCAACCAGTGGTGGAAGAAGACCCCAAAAAGTCGAGTTTTGGAAGCAAGAGAGGCAAGACTTGGAGTCAGTGTTCTGTGTGGAAGTGGGGCTTAGGATAAGGGTGGGTCTAGCCTTCAGGTGGGGATTCAAGATTGACTGGTTTCCCGGGCATAGTGGCTCACTCCTGTAATCCCAGAACTTTGGGAGGCTGAGACAGGAGGCTTGTTTGAGCCCAGGAGTTTGAGACCAGACTAGGCAACATAGCAAGACCTTATCTCTACGAAAAATAAAAATAAAAATAAATTCATTGGGCATGGTGGCATGTGCCTGTAGTCCCAGCTACTCAGAAGGCTGAGGTGGCCCAGAAGGTGGAGGCTGCAGTGATCATGCCACTGCACTCCAGCCTGGGCAACAGAGTGAGACCCTGACTCCAAAAAAAAAAAAAAAGATTAACTGGTTTCCAATTCTTCCCAGTAGCCCCACACAGATAGCCCACAACTGAGAGAAACTCTACCTGGTTGGACAGTGACTTCCAGATGCATCTTGATGGTCTGGTTGCCACGGTGACAATAATAGATACCAGCATCTTGAACTGTGGCTTGGGGCAACAACAGCCCAGTCTCCAGGACCCACATGTCTCTGGCTGGGTAATCCTCTGTCAGGTTTAGGCTCAGCAATGAAATGTTGGGCTTCTTGGGGTGCACATGGGTCCAGGAAACGGGACCTCTGTCCACAGAGTTAGGGGGTACCCCACAGGACAGCCAGAGTGTGGAGCCAGGGGCCAGGTCTGGGCAGGGAGAGACAAGACCAGGAAAACCTGATCCCTGGGGTCTCATCCCCCCCCAAATGCTCCAGTTTCCATTCACCATACCCGATCCCAAGACCCCCACTTCCTGGCATCTCCCCAGCACCGTCACCTTACCTTGGTTGAGGCTCTCATTCAGATTGTCCCTAGGTGGGGCACATCCAGGCTCTCCCTTCCAGATCTCAGGGCGGTTTTGGGCCCACACATACAGCTGGGAGCTGGCGAGTTTCCCAGAAGGGGGTCTGGGGCCCTCTGAGGACCTGTTGTCCAGGCTGCAGCCCAGGTCACCTAGGTCTGAAGCATTCCACCGGAACAGCTCCCCTGGGAAGAGATCCAGACCAGATGCAGGGAGAGCAGGAGATGGAGGGAGATACAGAGACCCAAATGGCAGAGACAAAGACTCAGAGAGAAGCAGAGAAGCAGCAACTCCGACGGAGGGAGAAGAGAGTGAGACCCAGAGGCACGGAGCAGCTCAGTGCTGAGGTCACAAAGCCACAGGAGTTTGCCTACCTCCAAGCAGCTCCTTGCTTGTCCCTCGGCCCTCCCAGCCCTTCCCTCCAGCTCTGTTGAGGTCTCTGGACCTCCTCTGCCCGTGGTGGGCTTCCCTCCTCTCCTCCCGCCCCTCGGCCCAGCCCAGCCTGGCCCTCACCGCTGCCCTTCACACTGACTGTCCAGCCAGGCTTCCAGGCCTTCTCAGAAGGGGGCCCTGGCTGACACAGGTAGAAGCCTCCCATCTGGTCAGAGACATTGAACATGAACAGCAGGACGCCCAGGGGCCCCACGTAGATGCCCAGGTCTGGTAACCCCAGGTTCAGCTGTAAGAAGGGTGCTGACTGGGTCTCCCGATACCAGGCCAGCTGCTCAGGCCGGCCATCTGAGGGACCCCTGAAGCATGGCAGCACAGCATCACCTCCCTCTGTGGAAAGAGAAAGAGGGGTGGGATGGATGGGGAGAGCCTCTACCTCCTTCACTCCTCACACTGGGTCATAAAGCAAAGGACCCCACAAGCTGGGAGTGGATGAGCCCTCCCAACCCTGCTCTGAATTTTACAAAGAAGAAAATGGAGGCTTAGAGAGGATCGGCTACTCAGTTGAGGACACCCCGCCACAACCCAGGCTTGCAGCCCCAACTCCTTCCCTCTCTGCCCTTCAGACGTACCTTCCACCTTCACCAGCAATGGCTCCTCGGGCCTGACCCCCACAGGGGTAAGGAAGAGGAGGGAGAAGAGGAGGAGAGGAGGTGGCATGGTGGCCAGACTCCCTGGGGCACCCAGCTGCGCGCAGGGGATGCTGGGGCAGGCGGGGGCCTGGAGGGCACTGAACCATGGGTATCATGGGGGTGGCAGGCAGTCCCCCTGAGAGGAAGGGGTGGTCACGCCTCAGGCCCCTTTCTTCAGGCCCACAAACTTGCCTCCTCCCTGCCACACTGTCTTATTTTCATCCCAGCACTCCCACCCTGTGAAACGATCTTATTTGCGTGTCTACTTGTTCACTTCTGTTTCCCACACTAGAATTTAAGCCCCTCGGAGCAGAGACTGTCTTGTTCACCACTCTATGCAGTGTCCCAGAACAGGGCTTGGTACATAGTAGTTACCTGATAAACATTTGTCTTGTTTCTGTTTCTGTTTTTGAAGCAGAATCCCACTCTGTCCCAGGGTGCAGTGCAGTGGCGTGATCATGGCTCACTGCAGCCTCTACCTCCTGGGCTCAGGCAATCATTCGGCTTCAGCCTCCCGAGTAGCTGGGACTATGTGCCACCATAACTGGCTATTTTTTTTTTTTTTTTTTTGTAAAGACAAAGTCTCAGTATGTTGCTCAGGCTGGTCTCTAACCCCTGGGCTTAAGCAGTCCTCCTGCCTCGGCCTCCCAATGTGCTGACATTACAGGTGTGAGCTACTGCCTGGCCTTGATAAACATTTGTCGAATCAGTGGATTCAGCCTTAGAGGCTCCTTCCTTCTCTCTTCCTTTCTCCTTCCAACCCCAGGCTCTGAATCGATTTATCTTCACACCCTCCACCCCCATGCATTCATTCAGCTAACATTTCTTAGCTCTCTTTCCACCTCCATACAACCGCCTATTTTTTTTTTTTTTTTTTTGAGTTGGAGTCTCACTCTGTCACCCAGACTGGAGTGCAGTGGCCGCTCCCGGCCACCGCAGCCTCACCTGCTGGGCTTCCGCCTCAGCCTTCCGAGTAGCCGGAATTACAGGCGTGCGCTACCACGCCCGGCTGATTTTTTGATTTATTGTAGAGATGAGGTCTCGCTGCCCAGGCAGGTCTCGAACCCGAGGGCTCAGGCAATCCACTCACCTTAGCCTCCCAAAGGCGTAGGATTACAGGCTGAGCCACCGAGCCCAGCTTACAACCGCCTATTAGCGCACATTGGGATCTGGCAGACCTGAGTTTGAATCTTCCATCTCCACCATTTGGCTAAATTTCTTCATCAATCTAAGCCTCAACTTCTTTCTCTATCAACCAGGAATCATAATAGTACTATAAACAAATTGTGAAGATCTGTGGTGGAAGGATAGATGGAGTCCAGGAGTTTGAGGCTGCAGGGGAACAAAAAGAGACCCTGTCTCTAAAAAGTAAACAAAATCAGGCAAATTTCCTTCCCTATACATTTTTTGTTGTTGTTGTTTAGTTGGAGTCTCACTCTGTTGCCCAGGCTGGAGTGCAGTGGCATGCTCATGGCCACCACAGCCTCGACCTGCTGGACTCAGACAATCCTTCCCCCTCAGCCTTCCAAGTAGCTGGAACTACAGGTGCATGCCAACACGCCTAGCTAATTTTTTTTATTGTAGAGACAAAGTCTTGCCAAATTGCCCAGGCTGGTCTCAAACCCCTGGGCTCAGACAATCCTCTTGCCTTCGCCTCCCAAAGTGCTGGGATTACAGGTGTGAGCCACCACACCCAGGCCTTATCTATAAATTAAGGGTGACAATTAACTGGGCATGGTGGCATATGTCTGTAGTCCCAGCTACTTGGGAGACTAAGGTGGAAGGATCACCTGAGCCCAGGAGGTCGAGGCTGTGGTGAGCCATGATCATGCCATTGCACTCTAACCTGGGTGACAGAGTGAGACCTCAACTCAAAAAAAAAAAATTGAAGATGATGAGAAAATCCATTCCCTATAGGTACGGTCCTGAGGATAAATCAGTAAATTACATAAAACTGGGAGGGGGCTTGGCAACCATTTGAAGAAAGCAGCAGCTGCCGTGGCTCCTTGGTGGTGGTCCTTAGAAATGACTGATGATTAATGTTTCTTTCTCACTCATGTCTTCCCCAGGGAGCCCCTACTTCAGTTAGGGAAGGGACCCATTTAGAAATGGGGAAATGGAGGCCCTAAAATGGCAGGGTGTTGCCCAAGGTCACACTGAGCTAGTGGTTTAGTTAGTCCTGACTCCCAATCTGCACTTATTCTGCCCCATGCCTCCCCCCCACCTCTGTGGGTGTATATGTGTGTGTGAATGGATGTCTTTCGCTGCTGCAGACCCTCAGGGAAAGGGGCCGTGGACTGAGAAATCTACTTTCTCAGAAGATTCCCAGATCTGTCTCACCACATTGCATTGCGGCTTCCTGTTTGCCCCAGGCAAGCCCCAGGGGACCCTACAGGTGGCAAAGCCCTCACTTCCCTTTGGCCAACTGGGGGAACCGGGAGGGAAAAGAGTGGGGCACTGAGGGATGACAAAGGTGAGTAGAAAGACCTCCAATTGCCTCTGGTTCAACCAGATCTCTCTAATCCCTTCATCAGCTCCCCTGCTGCCCAGGCCAGCTCTCACTAGAGCCTGCCAGTCCTCTGATTAAAACATGTCAGTGGTAGCCGGGCTCGGT